TGATGGCAGCTAATTAGCATAAGATTGCCATTTCTAAAGAGTGTGTATGTGTGTGTGTTTCAGTGTTGGGGCACCGTTGTCGTAGTGACACACCAAAGCGATTGCCTACTACGGATGAGGAACATATCTACCCCGAGGACACGTGCGGAGCGACCCATGATGTTAGGCTGTCCCTTATGCAACGCTACTTTAAAGATGTGCGTGCCATATATAAACACTCATGTTTACAATAATTATACAATAAACCACAAGAGGCCAATGCATTACAGTGATGTTACCACGGTTAAGGGTTTTTGGGCACCGTGTGACACCGTAAAATCACTGTCTCATGTGTCTTATTGCTTTTATAAAAGGAACAATTAGAATAAACAATTCTTCTGCTAGGTGTAATGGAGCCCATTATCCCAAGTGTAGATAGTTTGCAGCTGCCGCATTAATATTAAATTCAGCTGTGCCATCAAAAGTGTGCGCATATCAGCTATTTTACAGCAGCTTTGAACATTCTTATTGTACATTATCCTCTCCTTGAAAACTAAAGCTTTAGAGCTTAATAGATCTAATCAAAATCGAATGTTATCTCTTTTATTAGCTCATGAGTGAAGTTAGTTCTTCTTTTTTTCATTTCCCAGAGTTCCTGTTTGCAGTCTGTGTCTGTTGGCTGGGACGGGGGTGTGTATGTGCAGACGTGCGGCCACACCCTACATATAGACTGTCACAAGTCCTACATGGAGTCCTTACGGGTGAGAATCCACCAGCTCTTTATACTGAAGACTGTGCTGTAAAAAGCTTTAACTTATCAAGCGATTCATCATTTGGAAGAGTTCTAGAAGTCATGCACTTGTGCACTGCCTCCAATCCAATAGCCTCCCTAGCATTTAAACGCTCTTAATTGATTTAACCTAACAGATAATCCTAGAATCATTCATGCAGCTTTCTAATATAAAGTGGCTTCTGATTTAGAGTCTGTCAGGACTGGAGTTTGACTCCCCCGTCAAAGGGATGTTCAGTATTCACCGTTCACACACTCTGTCAGCTGCATTGCAAACCTCAATTCATCATTCATCATCATATTAAAATGTCCCACAAGACCTGAGCCTCGTGAACCACAGACTCCAGATGAGAGGAACTGCCATCATTGACTGTTATACATAAAGACTGTCAATTTAATTCTGATTATGCCTTGTATTGTTACATTTTGTTGATGCACAAGCCGGTTGGTTCCACAGTGCTTTGCACCATGTACAAATCCACAATATTTTGAGACTATTAGTTGAGACTCCGCTCTGTTTTGTCATTAGAGGTTCATCCACCACTGTTTCTTCTCAGCTGAACCTTTCAGGGAAGCATTGTGCTTATGCTAATAAGGGCGGTCTCCCATCACCATCTGCTTAATAACCTGTAACATGAGCAGACATTGATGTTCAGAGCGAGAGAGGGGGTTTGAGCGGGGCTGTCCTTTCAGCTGTAGAGTTATCAGCACTTTAGTCTCAGCCTCAGGCGACAAAGCCAATGCATATTGGTGCATATTGGCCTGTTTTTGCTTAAAATGAACCTGTCATATTTGTTTGTTTTCAGAATGATCAGGTCCTTCAGGGGTTCTCTGTGGATAAAGGCGAGTTCACCTGTCCGCTGTGTCGTCAGTTCGCCAACAGTGTTTTGCCCTGTCGTCCTGGGCGTGGGATGGAGACGGGCACCTGGCACACGCCCAGTAACAAGAGCATGTCCACACTGGTGAAGGAAGTGGAAGACCTTCAGGAACAGCTGGGCATTTTCCCAGTAAGAGCCAGCCTAAAGCAGAGAGATCCCATACTGGTATTTATTAGAGCGCACTCCCCTCTCCTCTTTTCTGTTCTGTGCTTCTCATCCCTCCATCCTGATTCAGAGTAAGAACTCTTGGTGCCACTCACCTCCATGTGATCCTTCATGCCCCGCCAAATGTTGCTGTGGTTTAACTTCTCATAACACAAAATCTCAAGCCAGTGTCATAGACAGTCATGTCAGGCCTTTAAACTCTGCTCTGAAAAACACAGAGGCCTTCACAGAGTGTTTTTTTCTCTCCCAGATGGAGTCCAATCTGAGTAAAGAGATGGAATCTGTTATAAAGGACATTAAAAGCACCACACAGAAAAAATACATGGATTATGGGAAGAACCCAGGGTCACCTGACAATGACTTCCTGTTCATGTACTCCGTGGCCAGGTAAGAAAGAGCCATGAAATGCAGTGTTTGTTTGTTTAATATAAGCTTAAATGTTCTCTTCATGTGTGGCATTAGACAAAAAGTTCAACCCATTTCCTGGAGGAAGAGTGTGTTTGTGAATGTCTATTATATTCAGCAGCATTGAAAGAGGATTGACTGATGTTTACCTGCTCGGATAGTCTGTTCTCAGATCAGTGGTTTTGCCGCATGGGTTTATTGAATACTATTTCCTTAAATCATTTTTGTTTTATTTGTGTGTTTGTGTGTGTGTGTGTCCTTCCCCGGTCTTGTACTTTTTGTCCATTAGGATTTTTCATTAATTCATTAATTATTTCTTTCTTCGGTTTTTTTTTGTTTGTTTGTTTTCAAATTCATTGTTCATTCTTTTTTCTTTTTTCACTCTTTGAATCTTTCTTTCGTTTTTTTCACCCTTTGAATCTTTCGTTTGTTTGTTTTTGAATTCTTTCCTATATGCCTGCCTTCCATTCTTTTTGTTTGTTTCTGCTGTTCGGTGTTTAGAGGGCTTGTTCTTCCCCTTGTTCTTTGCTCTTGTCTTTTTTCTTTTGTTTGTTTGTTCTTTTATTTACTTTTTTGTTTATTGTTTTCTCTTTATTCCATTTGTTCTCGCATTTACTCTCATTCTTTATTTTCAATGTTCCATCCTTCCTTTCGTTTGTTTTTTGTTTATTTTTCTTCTATCTTTCATTCTGTGTTAGTGTCATTGTTGGTGTTTTATATATATATATACAGTGGGTACGGAAAGTATTCAGACCCCCTTAAATTTTTCACTCTTTATATATTATTATTCTGGTTCTAGTTTTGTGTGCTCAGTCGTGATTCATTTGTTTTCTTTATGTCTTTGTGGTTTTGTCTGGCTGTATCTGATCACATTGTACTGGATGATGGTGTCTTTGTTTAGTCTGTTGACTTCATGATGACAGTTCAGTGATTGCAGGCTGTCCACCTGCTGCCACTCCAGCATCTATAGTTCTGTCCTGTCTTTAGCAGGACGATGATTCTCAGGCCATTAGCCCCTCCACATCTCTCTTTCCTCCGTCTGTCTGTGTCTGTGAGCAGCTGTCTCACTCTCACTTATCAATGGCAGCCAGGTGGAAGCACGCACCAGTGCATTATCTATGTGAAAATGGCTGTTTCATTCCTTTTCTCCTCCCCGCTCTTTCTTCTCCTCTAGGAGGCTTTTAAGATTGTTAAGCATCTGTAAGAAACCGCATGTATGCTGTTAATTTAAAACACTTCATTTTAGTGCACAGGTTGCAATCTCACGATTTTCTGATTTCGCCACATCTCAGATGCATCTGTTTGTGTGTCTAAAGGGCATAATGTATATAATAATTACACGTTTCTGTTATTGTGTTAGTGTTTTTACTCCTATATTAGAGTAAATGATCAGTGAAAAGTTCCAGAACACTAAAAAACAAACAAACAATGAGCAATATTTTTGCTGTAGTATTTGTTAATCTGTTAATATTAGTTAATAAGAATACAACTGTTCATTGTTAGTTCATGCTAGCTCAGCATGTATAGCTCATAATAATGTACTAGTAAATGTTGACATTAACATGAACTTATATTAATAAATTCTTTAGAAGTGTTTTTCATTGATGGTTATATTAGGTTTCAGGAAAAGTGTTCCTAGATCATTGAACCTGTTGATAATTTTGTACAGAGCTGGTCTTGTTCACATGCTGATTTTTTCTTAGTCAGATTTCAAAACTGGAACTATTTTAAAAAGATTAAATTGCACATTAAGTTCTCTCTCTCTCTCTCTCTCTCTCTCTCTCTCTCTCTCTGGAAAAATCTGGAGTTAGAGTTGGTTCATCGTGGGGGGAATCTATGCAGTGGGGGGGCCAGTGCTGCTGCCAAACGCTCCTGTCTCAGTAAGGATCTCTTTCTTCCTCTGTTTTCTTAAGTATAATATCTGTTTGTGTTTTTATTCATTTTTTAAATACATTATAAACTGTGAGCAGTGTAATGATGCCATGATAATGATTCAATTTCAGATATTTTTTGAGAGAATATTTAGATATCTACTGGTTATTCTACTAGGTCATTTTGAGATTTTCAGCATCTAACTAGGCCCTATAGCAGGGGTGGCCAACGTCTGTCTAGTGACCCTTAGACCTTGATTAGCTGGTTCAGGTGTGTTTGATTAGGGTTGGAGCTTCTCCAGGACCCACGTTAGCCACCCCTGCCCTATAGGCAAATGATTTTAAGTCCAAATCCACATCAGCATTATTAGTAGATAACAAATATTTGGTTTATTTAGCCAAATTACAACCAAAATGCTCTTTATATATCACATCAGCCATATTAATCAACCACTAGTTTTGAACTTGCTACAGTTTTAGTCTCAGGAGTAATCTGAAGTTAATTGTCTTCAATTCGGTGTTCAAGCACATAATGAGCTGCAAGCTAAAGGCTGTAGCATTGAACCTTAACTGCTACACCACACCACCCCAAATGAAATTTCCCTGTCGAAGAACTGAACCCTGGTTGTCCATGTGGACTACTGTCCATGATTCAAGTGTGAGGCGTCTGTTCAGATTGTTCAGGAATGCCATTCTTCTGGGATGATGCATTATGGATGATTGCATTTGTATTCTGATAGACTGCTGTTGGTGAATTTTTGCTGTTGAGACCAGTCAATCAACGCACATCCACACACTGGCTCTGTATAAATGAGTTTAGTCCTTGAGCTCGCTTAAAACAAATCTTGACACTCAAGCACAGCTGAAGAGATTTCACACTCCAGCAATGCAGCTATTTTCTGAGCTTCATTAAACCCACATCCACAGAGGGCCAGATTTACTCCGTCTCAGTACATTAGAGATCAGATCAGCTAGAGAACAAGAAAATAGAAAGTATGGACAAAGAAAGGGAAAGTGAGTGTCGCTTGCCCTGTGCAAAACTTACCACCATAGTGCTAGGATTGGGAGTGGTTACTAGGATGCCGTTGTTTTGGGGTTTTTGTTTGATTTGGTTTTGTTTGGTGTTTGGTTTATTTTTTCTCTCTCTCTTTTTGGTTTTGTTTGGTTTTGTTTCTGGTTTTGCTTGGTGTTTTGTTTGTTTGTTTTTTTTGGTGTTTGGTGTTTGGTTTGTGCTTTTGTTTTGTTTCTGGTTTTGTTTTTTTGGTGTTTGGTTTTGTTTGTGAGTTTCTGGTTTTGCTTGGTTTGTTTCTGGTTTTGTTTTTTTGGTGTTTGGTTTTGTTTGGGATTTGTTTGGTTTTGTTTCTGGTTTTGCTTGGTGTTTTGTTTTTGTTTTTTTGGTGTTTGGTTTTGTTTGGTGTTTGGTTTGTGCTTTTGTTTTGTTTCTGTTTTGTTTTTTTGGTGTTTGGTTTTGTTTGGGATTTGTTTGGTTTTGTTTCTGGTTTTGCTTGGTGTTTTTTTTTTGGTGTTTGTTTTGTGCTTCTGTTTTGTTTCTGTTTTGTTTTGTTTGGTGTTTGGTTTGTGGTTTGGTTTGTTTGTTTTTTTGGTGTTTGGTTTGTGCTTTTGTTTTGTTTCTGTTTTGTTTTTTTGGTGTTTGGTTTTGTTTGGGATTTGTTTGGTTTTGTTTCTGGTTTTGCTTGGTGTTTTTTTTTGGTGTTTGTTTTGTGCTTTTGTTTTGTTTCTGTTTTGTTTTGTTTGGTGTTTGGTTTGTGGTTTTGTTTGTTTGTTTTTTTGGTGTTTGGTTTTGTTTCTGGTTTTGCTTGGTGTTTTGTTTTTGTTTTTTTGGTGTTTGGTTTTGTTTGGTGTTTGGTTTGTGCTTTTGTTTTGTTTCTGGTTTTGTTTGTTTGGTTTTGTTTGGGATTTGTTTGGTTTTGTTTCTGGTTTTGCTTGGTGTTTTGTTTGTTTTTTTTTGGTGTTTGTTTTGTGGTTTTGTTTTGTTTTGTTTCTGTTTTGTTTTTTTTGGTGTTTGGTTTGTGCTTTTGTTTTGTTTGGTTTTGTTTCTGGTTTTGTTTGTTTGTTTTTTTGGTATTTGGTTTTGTTTGTTTGTTTGTTTGGTTGGTTTTGTTTCTGGTTTTGCTTGGTGTTTTTTTGTTTTGTTATTTGGGTTTGTTTGGTGTTTGGTTTGATTTTTTTTTATTTTAATTTTTTTGGGTTTTTTTTGTTTTTTTTTTTTTTTTTTTTTGTTTTTTTTTTTTTTTTTTTTTTTTTTTTTTGGTGTTTGGTTTGTGCTTTTGTTTTGTTTTGTTTTGTTTCTGTTTTGTTTTTTTTTGGTGTTTGGTGTTTGGTTTGTGCTTTTGTTTTGTTTGGTTTTGTTTCTGGTTTTGTTTGTTTGTTTTTTTGGTGTTTGGTTTTGTTTGTTTGTTTGTTTGGTTGGTTTTGTTTCTGGTTTTGCTTGGTGTTTTTTTTTGTTTTGTTATTTGGTTTTGTTTGGTGTTTGGTTTGATTTTTTTTTATTTTAATTTTTTTGCTGTTTGATTTTTGATTTTGATTTTGTTTCTGGTTTTGCTTGGTGTTTTTTTGTTTTGTTATTTGGGTTTGTTTGGTGTTTGGTTTGATTTTTTTTTATTTTAATTTTTTTGCTGTTTGATTTTTGATTTTGATTTTGTTTCTGGTTTTGTTTGGTTTGGATTTTGTTTTTTGTTTGTTTTTTTTAAGCATGTTATGCAGGGGCATGTTACATGACAGTGTTTAATAGTTAAATTCAGTGAATTGTTCATATGTTAGTGGCTGGTATAAAGTAGTTGCCTTCCAGAATGACTCTGACTTACGTACTACTGCTGTCAGATTTGCCATCAGATGTCCTGTATTTAGTCATAGTGATTCTGGGTTGTATTTAGGAAAATTTGAATGTCAGTTGATGTTAATTCTTTCTCTGGATGTTAGTGTAGATTGGATGACATTCACTTTTGCCTTTCAGACACCGGAGTCTCTTTCTGGCTTGTGTTTGATGTCTATGTGTGATTGATGGCATGTGAATGGGGGCAAGTATGCACACTGTAATCACAGGTGGGTGGAGATGGAAGATCAATATGGAGATGGAGAGTGTGTGAGGATGGGGGTGGTGGGGAGACGTGGGCGATAAATAGAGCGATGCAGAAATCTCCGTTTTGGCTGTCCGTCTACATGATAAAGTTGTTGCAAAGTGGATGGAAGCAAGAGGATGGAGGATTGGAATGAATATCTGGAGATCTCTCGCACTTCCATGTGCCATCATGACTGAGGTTTAGAGAGCATTCATGTTCTTGTAACAGAACAGAATGCAAATGGATTTGTATCATCCAAACTTGTTGCTAGTTGTCCAAGACATCGTTTTGAGGGAAGGAGTTGGACCAGTCATATGTAAATTAAACATAATTATAGTTTTAGTCCTGCCTTTTATGGTCATTTTTGATAGTTTAACTGTTGAATAAGCATGTGCATCAACTGGAACAGCCTGAAAATGCTTTTCAGCATGTTTGATATGAAAATAAATGTATAATACCATTTTGATTTTTTTTCTTTTGCTGATACATTTTTATTGCTGAAATATTGAAACATTTTCTTTGGACACTCCCAACGACATCTCAAGATATACCAAGATGGTAAGCTGATTTGCTGAATTGACCATTTTGAAGAAATGTAGAATAACTATTACTCCAGTATAGTTATTATAAATTCAATAGCCCTTACTCCAGTCTTCAGTGTCACATGATCCTTCAGAAATCATTCTAATATGCCGATTTGCTGCTCAAGAAACATTTATTTTTATTATCAATGTTGAAAGCAGTTTTATAAATAAACTCTTTGGAGCTTTCCGTAGAGCTTCGTATTTAAATGTTTTATTTTTTTAATGATTACATTAAATTCATCAAAACTGACTGTAAGACATTCACAAAAAAATGTTTCAAATAAATGCTGTTTTTGTGAAGTCTTTATTCAAAGAATTCTAAAAACAATGCATCACCTGTATCTGTTTTTTGCTTGTTTGTTTGTTTTTTCAAAAAAACTGCACAACTGCTTCAACATTAATAATAATAAGACATGTTCCTTGAGCATCAGATTTCTGAAGGATCATGTGACACTGAAGACTGGAGTAATGATGCTGAAAATCCAGATTTGATCACAGGAATACATTACATTTTTAAACGCATTTAAATAGAAAACAGTAGTTTTAAATCGTAATAATATTTCACTTTTTTTGATCAAATAAATGAATTGAATTATTTACTAAATTATACAGACCCCAAGATTCTAAACTGTAGTGTATATGGAGTATATATTTTATTATCAATGTTGAAAGCAGTTGTGCCGCTTAATATTTTTGTGAAAACGTCGATACTTTTTTTTCAAGATTCTTTGATGAATAGAAAGTTTAAAAGAACAGCAAATCTTTTGCAACATTATGAAAGTCTTTACTGTCACTGTTGATCAATTAAATGCATCCTTGCTCAATAAGTATTCATTTCGTTAAAAGATCTTATTGACCACAAACAGTAGTGTATATTGAAGTTGACACTCATGCTCATGGTGTTGAGACGCTGTAAAACATTGAGGTGAAAAGCAACAGCTAAAGGCATCTTTTGACACATGTAAATGGGCCGAGACATTAAAAAAATAGTGCAGTCATAATGCAAAAGTGCTCTTCTGTGTAAACGTTCTTCTCACATCCCCTCACATTGCTGTTTCTGTGAAGGGTTTTGTTGAAAATTTCAATTCACACTCAATCAACCAATACGTTTTTCTAAGCTGTTTCCCCTCATATTTTTATTAAAAATGCTTTGAATGAAGGAATAATTTTATCCAGTCTTAGTTACCTATAGGTGGTGATATTGCTTTATCCATGAGTCTGTAGATGAGCCAGCATCTTATATGTGGCTGGTGTTTTGCTTCTGGTAATAATGCACATCTGGTATCCTGTCTGCACTAAGAATCCACGCAGCCTGTAAAAGCACACAAGTTTGAAATGCATCACGTCTTTCATTGCATTCAGAGGAGATGAAATTAGTTTAAAAGCTGAAACTGTGTAAAATGACATTAGAAATGCAATGTCAGTTGTTATTTTATTGTGTAAGTCGCATGACGTTGCAGTCATACACTAGTACATTAGATGCACTGCTCACAGAAATAGGTTAATAAGCTTTGCTTTTTAAAGTGGTAATGTGTGTGTGTGTGTGTCTATAAGTTTCAGTCTGTCTCTAGGATCTCTTAGGCATGTTGGAAATAGAAAAATAAAATACTGTTTGCTGCATACTGCATAATATACAGTATACTGTTAATATATGCCTTCGTATTATGAATTGATAATTGATCGTTTTATTAGCATGCTACAATGCAAGCATATGACTATACTGTATTGCATGTGTAATGTACTCAGTTGTGTCATGTTGTAATCTCAAAATGGACTCTTAAGCATTTTTATCCAATTTTGTGTTGATGTCTTTAAAATTTGTGGCTTTGGAAATTGTCAAGTCAAGCATATTACATTCATAATATTTAAACTTATTGGTAGCTGAAAGAATAATCAAATTATCCACAGTTCATCAAAATATTATAAATAAACTCTTTGGAGCTTTCTGTAGAGCTTCGTATTTACATTTTGTATTTTTTGTAATGATTACATTAAATTCATCAAAACTGACAGTAAAACATTCACAAAAAAATGTTTCAAAAACTGCACAACTGCTTCAACATTAATAATAATAAGACGTTCCTTGAGCATCAGATTTCTGAAGGATCATGTGACACTGAAGACTGGAGTAATGATGCTGAAAATCCAGATTTGATCACAGGAATACATTACATTTTTAAACGCATTTAAATAGAAAACAGTAGTTTTAAATCGTAATAATATTTCACTTTTTTTGATCAAATAAATGAATTGAATTATTTACTAAATTATACAGACCCCAAGATTCTAAACTGTAGTGTATATGGAGTATATATTGCAGAAACCTTATGAGCTCTGTTGTAATCTGTCTGCTGAGGTAAAGTTGCAGGTTTATCAGGATTTGGTTCTGAAGCCCCCTGCTGCTGGTGTCAGGTGGGTTTGTGAGCTGCAGGTAGGGGGCAGCAGTGATCCTCTGCCACTGGTCTGGACACAGCGTTGACGGCATTGATCAGTGTGTAAAAGGACAGGTTTTCATGAGGTCTGATATCTGTCACATCCTCCTACACACCTGGAGGCTCTACGCAAACTCCGTCATGTTGCACACACTAACACTGGTGTGTGTGTGTGTGTGTGTGTTCTCTGTGTGTTTCAGATCAGCTGTTTCATGTGCTGGCCATGCACATGCGTCTCTACAGCATAGATTCAGCATACAACCCCTGGACCAGACTCACACAGAGCACGCACAGCAGAGACAATGAGTGAGCACACACAACACAACACAACTTTTTATAAAATATAAATTGCTAAACTCGGTGTAGAACTGCACTACCCATAATCCTGAACAGAGATCCAGCAATCAGAGATGCTGCTGTAATTATGGAAATTAAATTGTTGGCAAAAGAACTTCCCGTTCACACAATGAAAGTATCCTTACAAAAAGTATTTGATTACGTCTTTAATTGATTTTCCGTACATTTCTGCCATATGTACATTAACTGACAGTCACCACTGATAAGCATCAGTATCTGAATATTTAAAAATTAACTTAAATATACAAACACACACACATATACTATGTAATCAATAGTTTTATATTCGTTGTTCGCAATGTTTCGCAAAAACTGTGAGAGCAGAGTAGTGTGGTCCACAAACAGATGACTCTGATGAGGCAGTTCTTCTAACAAATCGGTTAAAAAGACATGTTGACATTTAATAATTTAAAGATACACATGCACCCTTAAGTGCTTTGTTGTATTTTGGTATTTAAAAGAAAAAAAAAGAATAAAAAACAGAAGGCAAGAAGATTCTACTCTTAACTGGCTTTTTATGTTGAGTCTCTGCTGCTGCATCTTTTTGAGAGAGAGAGAGACTTGCACAAATGGGGTTTCCATAGATACCAATAACTACTGCATCTAGTAAATTATGGTGTGCAGCACTACATTTCATGAGTACTACGCTTTATTTTGAGGGTTTATGGCTGTGTGGAGGTTACCGCTCACCGCGCCTCCTGTTTAAAAGGCACTTAACACTCTCGGGCTAGTTAAATGGCCTCATTTCTCCTGCGTTGGGGCAGTAAGACAGGGTTTTCACCTGTGCGTCTCTTAGGACTGTTGGACGGGCTGGACTCAGATGGGAGACAGCTGTGTCTATAAATACCTTGTTAGAGTCTTTTGAAGGAAAACTCTGTCACTAGAACCCTCGGGTGCTTTAGCAGCACTATTAATTTAGCCATTTGAATAAAACCACTGCTGTCCCTGCTTCTGCCTGCCTCTAATCACTTATCTAGCACAAAAGACCATGTGTTTTTATTATATGAGAGGTAGTTTTTGGACCGTAAAGCCATTCTTGATATGTTTGGATGCCATTGTCAATTTTATTTGTGTATGTTTGAGTGTGTGTCCAAACGCCTTTGGGGCGTGAATTCTGCTCAAATGGACAGCACATCAAAAAAATTGTCTTCTAAATAAATATTTGCTCAAAGAATATTTTCTTTTTAATTGCAATCTTGGGTTTATGTAACCTGCCCCCACCTACTGTACATTTACAGTAAAATTCCATTGAAAGAACTCTACAGTAATTAGTCCCGTTCTTACATAATGATTTCAGTTGTGCTGCCGTGGGTAAGATAGATGTGAAAGTATTGTCTGTAGATCACAATATCATGCATGCAAGTTAAAAAAATGCTGTGTATACTGTATACTGCTCTTTTTTTGGTAGTGGTCATGTTCTCTGTGTTTCTGAAGCGTTTAGTGTAGTATTGTTGAATGATTGTGTGTTTTGTGTGCAGGTGCTGTGATGATGAACGTCCTGAGGTGCCCATGCTCTTCAGAGACGTCCCATCCCTCCTCATCATCTTCATCCTTACCATGCCTCAGCCTTTAGGCAAAGGTAATGCAACCGAACTCACACCCATAATTTTTCAGGACTCACAACCGCATTCTCGGGAAAACCTGTGCTGGGTGAACGGAACTGGACTCTTTGGACTCTTGTTGTGTCAGAAAATGATAAGACTTTAAAGGTGGGGTAAGCGATTTTTCTAAAACGCTTTAGAAAACTGATTCGGGTCGAATTGCAAAACAAACTTGTAGCCAATCAGCATTAAGGGGCGTGTCTACTCATGATGTGGAGAAAGCGTTCAGTGCACGGGACGGACATTAGCGAGATAAGCGACAGAAAGATAGAGATGGCGGATAAAAAACAAAAGAGGAAAACGTCTGCGGAACAAATAAAAGAAGGCTTAAGGCAAGAAGTAGGACCCGTGTAAATATCGGATCAGCTTTCCAGCGCTGGAGAGAACTCAAGGAGCGGAAGGCCTGCGATCGGACGCTGAGGTTGCTTTGTTTCTTCTCGATAGGTGAGTAACACCGTGTCTGCGCCGCAACAGCTAAAGTCTGTCTAGTACACTGGACACGACAAAGCGACCGCTGAAAATCATCTGAAATCTGTGTCAATACGTCATGAATAGAACGCAGCAGCAGTTTTCTGTCGGGGATTTGTCGTGTCGTGCCGCGCCGCATCCAGTGTAGACCATAGATATGTATATATATCTATGGTGTAGACAGCATCACTGATTATAATGAGTTCTCGCGCCGCACCACTCGCGTCCGGTGTAGACACGGTGTAAGATTGGTTTTGCTTTGTTTCACAGAACTAATCCGTTGCCTGGGTTGCGTACGTATGTGTGGGGCAGAGCTATCAAAATAGGGGCGAGACCCTTGTGGGGTAGAGGCGTGTTTGTTTTGGTGATTTCAAATGTCAACATTGGCTACCAGAAATCGCTTACCCCACCTTTAAGTTTTGTGGACGTCGCCATCTTTGATATTATTTTGGTCACTGTTGCTATGGTAACTGGTATGGAAATCGGACTTGACTCCCGTTGCACGTTCACACAGACAGTATTCGAGACGCTGCTGTGTGAACGGGACATTTCGAGACTCACACCTGTAAGTAAATGCGGTTGTCAATCCCAAACACTGACAGTGTGTCTGTTTAATCTGCCACAGTAACCTGATGCCTTTAAAGTATCTTCAGTTGGGAACTTTTCTCAGCAAATACTGATATGCTTTCAATTTGATTGGCATAAATTATCGCACATTTTAATCAATTGAAAGCTCTACTGCATGCAGAAGGGATGTTTAGTAAAAGTAAAATCTTTCGTAGTCTCTGTATAGCACTGTTTAATTATTGTAGAAACTCCAATATGTGTTTTCTAGAACATATATCAATGCATCAGTGACTCGGGTGCACTTCTGAGCTTTCAAAGGCAATTAAAAAGTACATTTAAATTTAAAGTCTGTAAAGGCCACGACTGTCATTTGATTGATCACTGATCATTGATTGGCTCTCAAATAAGCATCATGTGTTTCGTGGTTGTGAGCAAGGGATCGATTCGAGTCCATCAGTCTGAAGACACAACACAATAAAGCTTGTATTAGAACAGAAACGGGCTGTGCATGTGTTAATTTTGTGCTGTCACAATGACACTGGTGTTTGTGTGTGTGAGGTGTCATTGTCTCTGGTGAGGAATGTTAATGGTGTGTGAGTGTGTGTGTTTCTCTCATCACACAACTGGTCCTAACACCTGCTACATGCACACAAGGCCTAATTACCCTCTCCAAAAAAATCAAATGTCCATTTTTTTTTTTTTGGTCTACAGTCACATAATAGATTTTTGTGTCGTAACAAAAGATCCATGGTTCTCTTGAAAGCTCTAGGGTCTATAGAGCTCTTTGAGTGAGTGTCTCTGTGTGTTATGTAACCTTTGAGTTACGAGTCCGACTCTCTAACCATTAGGCCACGACTTCCCCCAATTCAAGGATATAATTTAATAATATTATTTTTCATTATTCAAGGATATAACCAACATTTTTACATTTGGGGAGGCCAAAGTGCGTGCTATAGGGGGGAAAAAAAGTTTTCTGATTTCTGAAGGATCATGTGACACTGAAGACTAGAGTAATGATGCTCAAAATTCAGCTTTGCGTCAGCAATAAATGACGTTTTAATAGAAAACTGTTTTTTTTACAATATTGCTGTTTTACTGTATTTTTAATAATGTAGCCTTGGTGAGACTACAGAAACATTAAATTCACGTCACATTAAATATGCTGAGTGTAAGGTAAACTTCAAATCTTTTATGAGGAAGTTTCATTGCCAGTGACTGAGATTACACAAGATTTTATGTCACTTATGTCAAAGTACAGCTTTTGCAGATAAATTAAACCGTAGTGGTTTAGGTTAAAAACATTAAGTTCATAAAGTTACACAAAGAACTTCCAAACACTGGTATAAATAAATTATTCTAGCGTTCCTGCCGCTCAAACAGTGGAGCAATGCAACGACAAGGTCATGGGTTCAGTTCCCACGGATGAAAGTGATTGAAGGCTTGAAGTGATGAAATATGTAGCTCGAATTTGAAACAGTCATAATGTTATGTAATATGAGGGAATTTTTTTTCATCATGAAATTATTATACATAGATAAAGCAGTGTTACCACAAACATTGAAGTGAAAATCAGTTTTGATTTCATGCTGTGTTTTAAACATAAGATGCTGCATCTGGTGTTGAAGATAACCATGCTGTGTGTGTGTGTTTGTGTGCAGAGCACTTCACGTGTGTGGTGAAGGTGTTGTACAGTCTGCGGTACACACAGGCTCTGGCCGCTCTGTCCATCAGATTCAGCCGTGAGGAGAGACTCGCCTGGAGCAACACTGGAGCTGCCAAGAAGGTGCTGCCAGTAACCTACTCATCACAGCCACCAATCAAAAAGCTTTCTTAGACTTACTTCAGTCAGTTATAGCAAGCGTGTGTGTTATAATAGCTGTGGAACAGCAATATAAATTGGTTCACAATTGATGTAGATTCAGTTGATGTTTGGACGTGCGTGTGTATATTTGTATTGTTTATTATTCAAACGCTCAGTGTGTGGCTCATCTAGTCAGATTTCAAAACTAGAACTATTTTAAAAAGATTAAATTGCACATTAAGTTCTCTCTCTCTCTCACTCACTCACTTACTCTCACTCTCTCATTTAAAGTAACTGTATTTCAAAGCCTAAGTTGGGTTCAAAATTCAGTCCAGTTGGTAGAATAACAGTGATTACAGTCTGAAGGGAGAAATGTAAAACACTGCTTGCTTTAATTCATGTTGTTTCACACGCAGAACACGCCAAACTCTGACAAATCATGGGAGTCGCTCCTGGGTCACATGATCTCTGAGCTGACGAAGGCCAAAGATGTGTATGACACCAACTCTGAGGAAACACTTGTGGTGAGTCATGATCTCCAACGTCACATAGACCACAGCACAACAGAACAGTGCTGTAACACCATAATATCATAATCTTTCCTGCAGTTTAGCAGTTATTATTGAAGTACATTGCAATAATGAGTTGATCTAACAAACCATGCTAATCATTTGATTGCTTTTTAATGACTAATCTTACAAATAACATTTATTGGACAAAAATTGATTGTTGATGTTGAATTCAGCATACTAGTAACTATGAGAATATATATATATATATATATATATATATATATATATATATATATACACACACACTATGTAAATCAAATTATATTCAAATCAGTCTAAAAAACATGTTGACATTTCAACATTCAAAGATACACATGTACAAAATTGTTTTGTTGTATTTGGTATTTTATTTAAAAGACAAAAATGAATAAAAAAACAGAAGGCAGGTTCTGCTTTCACTTGCTTTTTATGCTGTCTCTGCAGCTGCATCTTTTTGAGAGGGAGAGAGACTTGCGCAAATGGGGTTTCCATAGATACCAATAACTGCTGCATCTGGCAAATTATGGTGTGCAGCACTACATTTCATGAGTGCGGCGCTTTATTTTGAGGGTTTATGGCTGTGTGGAGGTTACCGCTCGCCGCAGCTCCTGTTTAAAAGGCACTTAACACTCTCGGGCTAGTTAAATGGCCTCATTTCTCCTGCGTTGGGGCAGTAAGACAGGGTTTTCACCTGTGCGTCTCTTAGGACTGTTGGACGGGCTGGACTCAGATGGGAGACAGCTGTGTCTATAAATACCTTGTTAGAGTCTTTTGAAGGAAAACTCTGTCACTAGAACCCTCGGGTGCTTTAGCAGCACTATTAATTTAGCCATTTGAATAAAACCACTGCTGTCCCTGCTTCTGCCTGCCTCTAATCACTTATCTAGCACAAAAGACCATGTGTTTTTATTATATGAGAGGTAGTTTTTGGACCGTAAAGCCATTCTTGATATGTTTGGATGCCATTGTCAATTTTATTTGTGTATGTTTGAGTGTGTGTCCAAACGCCTTTGGGGCGTGAATTCTGCTCAAATGGACAGCACATCAAAAAAATTGTCTTCTAAATAAATATTTGCTCAAAGAATATTTTCTTTTTAATTGCAATCTTGGGTTTATGTAACCTGCCCCCACCTACTGTACATTTACAGTAAAATTCCATTGAAAGAACTCTACAGTAATTAGTCCCGTTCTTACATAATGATTTCAGTTGTGCTGCCGTGGGTAAGATAGATGTGAAAGTATTGTCTGTAGATCACAATATCATGCATGCAAGTTAAAAAAATGCTGTGTATACTGTATACTGCTCTTTTTTTGGTAGTGGTCATGTTTTCTGTGTTTCTGAAGCGTTTAGTGTAGTATTGTTGAATGATTGTGTGTTTTGTGTGCAGGTGCTGTGATGATGAACGTCCTGAGGTGCCCATGCTCTTCAGAGACGTCCCATCCCTCCTCATCATCTTCATCCTTACCATGCCTCAGCCTTTAGGCAAAGGTAATGCAACCGAACTCACACCCATAATTTTTCAGGACTCACAACCGCATTCTCGGGAAAACCTGTGCTGGGTGAACGGAACTGGACTCTTTGGACTCTTGTTGTGTCAGAAAATGATAAGACTTTAAAGGTGGGGTAAGCGATTTTTCTAAAACGCTTTAGAAAACTGATTCGGGTCGAATTGCAAAACAAACTTGTAGCCAATCAGCATTAAGGGGCGTGTCTACTCATGATGTGGAGAAAGCGTTCAGTGCACGGGACGGACATTAGCGAGATAAGCAACAGAAAGATAGAGATGGCGGATAAAAAACAAAAGAGGAAAACGTCTGCGGAACAAATAAAAGAAGGCTTAAGGCAAGAAGTAGGACCCGTGTAAATATCGGATCAGCTTTCCAGCGCTGGAGAGAACTCAAGGAGCGGAAGGCCTGCGATCGGACGCTGAGGTTGCTTTGTTTCTTCTCGATAGGTGAGTAACACCGTGTCTGCGCCGCAACAGCTAAAGTCTGTCTAGTACACTGGACACGACAAAGCGACCGCTGAAAATCATCTGAAATCTGTGTCAATACGTCATGAATAGAACGCAGCAGCAGTTTTCTGTCGGGGATTTGTCGTGTCGTGCCGCGCCGCATCCAGTGTAGACCATAGATATGTATATATATCTATGGTGTAGACAGCATCACTGATTATAATGAGTTCTCGCGCCGCACCACTCGCGTCCGGTGTAGACACGGTGTAAGATTGGTTTTGCTTTGTTTCACAGAACTAATCCGTTGCCTGGGTTGCGTACGTATGTGTGGGGCAGAGCTATCAAAATAGGGGCGAGACCCTTTTGGGGTAGAGGCGTGTTTGTTTTGGTGATTTCAAATGTCAACATTGGCTACCAGAAATCGCTTACCCCACCTTTAAGTTTTGTGGACGTCGCCATCTTTGATATTATTTTGGTCACTGTTGCTATGGTAACTGGTATGGAAATCGGACTTGACTCACGTTGCACGTTCACACAGACAGTATTCGAGACGCTGCTGTGTGAACGGGACATTTCGAGACTCACACCTGTAAGTAAATGCGGTTGTCAATCCCAAACACTGACAGTGTGTCTGTTTAATCTGCCACAGTAACCTGATGCCTTTAAAGTATCTTCAGTTGGGAACTTTTCTCAGCAAATACTGATATGCTTTCAATTTGATTGGCATAAATTATCGCACATTTTAATCAATTGAAAGCTCTACTGCATGCAGAAGGGATGTTTAGTAAAAGTAAAATCTTTCGTAGTCTCTGTATAGCACTGTTTAATTATTGTAGAAACTCCAATATGTGTTTTCTAGAACATATATCAATGCATCAGTGACTCGGGTGCACTTCTAAGCTTTCAAAGGCAATTAAAAAGTACATTTAAATTTAAAGTCTGTAAAGGCCACGACTGTCATTTGATTGATCACTGATCATTGATTGGCTCTCAAATAAGCATCATGTGTTTCGTGGTTGTGAGCAAGGGATCGATTCGAGTCCATCAGTCTGAAGACACAACACAATAAAGCTTGTATTAGAACAGAAACGGGCTGTGCATGTGTTAATTTTGTGCTGTCACAATGACACTGGTGTTTGTGTGTGTGAGGTGTCATTGTCTCTGGTGAGGAATGTTAATGGTGTGTGAGTGTGTGTGTTTCTCTCATCACACAACTGGTCCTAACACCTGCTACATGCACACAAGGCCTAATTACCCTCTCCAAAAAAATCAAATGTCCATTTTTTTTTTTTTGGTCTACAGTCACATAATAGATTTTTGTGTCGTAACAAAAGATCCATGGTTCTCTTGAAAGCTCTAGGGTCTATAGAGCTCTTTGAGTGAGTGTCTCTGTGTGTTATGTAACCTTTGAGTTACGAGTCCGACTCTCTAACCATTAGGCCACGACTTCCCCCAATTCAAGGATATAATTTAATAATATTATTTTTCATTATTCAAGGATATAACCAACATTTTTACATTTGGGGAGGCCAAAGTGCGTGCTATAGGGGGGAAAAAAAGTTTTCTGATTTCTGAAGGATCATGTGACACTGAAGACTAGAGTAATGATGCTCAAAATTCAGCTTTGCGTCAGCAATAAATGACGTTTTAATAGAAAACTGTTTTTTTTACAATATTGCTGTTTTACTGTATTTTTAATAATGTAGCCTTGGTGAGACTACAGAAACATTAAATTCACGTCACATTAAATATGCTGAGTGTAAGGTAAACTTCAAATCTTTTATGAGGAAGTTTCATTGCCAGTGACTGAGATTACACAAGATTTTATGTCACTTATGTCAAAGTACAGCTTTTGCAGATAAATTAAACCGTAGTGGTTTAGGTTAAAAACATTAAGTTCATAAAGTTACACAAAGAACTTCCAAACACTGGTATAAATAAATTATTCTAGCGTTCCTGCCGCTCAAACAGTGGAGCAATGCAACGACAAGGTCATGGGTTCAGTTCCCACGGATGAAAGTGATTGAAGGCTTGAAGTGATGAAATATGTAGCTCGAATTTGAAACAGTCATAATGTTATGTAATATGAGGGAATTTTTTTTCATCATGAAATTATTATACATAGATAAAGCAGTGTTACCACAAACATTGAAGTGAAAATCAGTTTTGATTTCATGCTGTGTTTTAAACATAAGATGCTGCATCTGGTGTTGAAGATAACCATGCTGTGTGTGTGTGTTTGTGTGCAGAGCACTTCACGTGTGTGGTGAAGGTGTTGTACAGTCTGCGGTACACACAGGCTCTGGCCGCTCTGTCCATCAGATTCAGCCGTGAGGAGAGACTCGCCTGGAGCAACACTGGAGCTGCCAAGAAGGTGCTGCCAGTGACCTACTCATCACAGCCACCAATCAAAAAGCTTTCTTAGACTTACTTCAGTCAGTTATAGCAAGCGTGTGTGTTATAATAGCTGTGGAACAGCAATATAAATTGGTTCACAATTGATGTAGATTCAGTTGATGTTTGGACGTGCGTGTGTATATTTGTATTGTTTATTATTCAAACGCTCAGTGTGTGGCTCATCTAGTCAGATTTCAAAACTAGAACTATTTTAAAAAGATTAAATTGCACATTAAGTTCTCTCTCTCTCTCACTCACTCACTTACTCTCACTCTCTCATTTAAAGTAACTGTATTTCAAAGCCTAAGTTGGGTTCAAAATTCAGTCCAGTTGGTAGAATAACAGTGATTACAGTCTGAAGGGAGAAATGTAAAACACTGCTTGCTTTAATTCATGTTGTTTCACACGCAGAACACGCCAAACTCTGACAAATCATGGGAGTCGCTCCTGGGTCACATGATCTCTGAGCTGACGAAGGCCAAAGATGTGTATGACACCAACTCTGAGGAAACACTTGTGGTGAGTCATGATCTCCAACGTCACATAGACCACAGCACAACAGAACAGTGCTGTAACACCATAATATCATAATCTTTCCTGCAGTTTAGCAGTTATTATTGAAGTACATTGCAATAATGAGTTGATCTAACAAACCATGCTAATCATTTGATTGCTTTTTAATGACTAATCTTACAAATAACATTTATTGGACAAAAATTGATTGTTGATGTTGAATTCAGCATACTAGTAACTATGAGAATATATATATATATATATATATATATATATATATATATATATACTTGATTCAACAGGTCTGGCAGTAATCAGGCCTGGGTGTGGCTAGTGAAATTTAACTCAGCTTTCTAAAATAATGTGGTTAATTGCAGTTCTTTCATGACTTAACAGGAGGGGGCAATTAATTTTTCACGTAGGGCCACGTAGGTTTGGACAGCTTTTTTCCCTTAATAAATGAAAACATAATTTAAAAACTGCATTTTGTATTTACTTGCATTATCTTTGTGTAATATTACAATTTGTTTGATGATCTGAATCTTTTAAGTGACAAATATGCAAAAAAATTAAAAAAACAGGAAGGGGGCAAAAACCTTTTCACACCACTGTATATATATATATACATACACACATACATATATATACTGTATACTAATTTATGTATTTAAATGAAGAAAAATATGTAGTCAAGTATCTAAGCGACCCATTGTTGAACTTGTCTTGCAAATATCGCATGAAACCAAACATCTTTTCACTTCACTTCTACATCTTTTCAAGTAGTAGAGAAAAAGTAGAGAAATATTTTATTGTGCAGGTAGTCAGATCTTTATTTTTTTATTTATTTTTTTATTCGATTGTCATCTCAAATCAGGATGCATTACAGTAAAACAATTTGCTTGGAACATTTTACAAATCTAAAATAAAACATTAAATTAGTTGTTTATGTGCAAGGACTATTTATGTAAAATCTACTGTTCAAAAGTTTGGGGTCGGTAAGATAAAAATTTTACTTATTATTGTCTCTTATGCTCACCAAGGCTGCATTTATCTGATCCCAGGCATTAAAGTTCCGTCGCTACGACGGATTTCCGTCAGTTCATACAGACAGTCACTTGCTTCATTCCTGAATGATTCAGCCGTTTGAACGAATCAATTGAATGAATGATTCAGTGACAAAATCAGTGACTTGCCGCCACCTGCTGGCGAATTTAGTTTCATTTTTAGTGTATAATTAGTTATTTGAATCATATTTCTGTATTCAAAATTGTATATTTAAAACATAAATCTCCACATGAATGTATGAATTTAATTGCGCTCATGCCACCTCTGAGCCTCATTAAACGTCTGGAAATGTACCTTCAAGCCACTTTTGTGTTCTTCTGTGCCACCTCTGTAGTACAAATTAATTTATTAATACAAATTTCATATGATTGGTAACTTGTCTTATTCTACATATTGTTTTAAATAAATTTTAAAAAGATTATAAACATATATGTTTTTTTAATTTGACATAGATGAAAATGATGCCATTACAAAGGTAAATAAAAATACTCCTGTAAGTCACTTTGAGTCAAATGTCAGCTCGTATTAGGAAGGCTAATTATTTTATCAGAATTTTTTATTATTGATCAGAAGGTGCTCCTAAATATTTAAATTAGGAGGACAAGCGCTCCTAATTACAAGAAGAAGAATAAACTGCTCTTAAACTGGGTGTGTGACAGGTATGGCTGAGGAATGGGGTTTGGTCGAAGAAAAAAATTGTTTTGCTTTAACCCCTGCAATATAATAATAATAATAATAGAACAAGACAAATAAGTTACCAATTATATGAAATTAGTATTAATAAATTAATTTGTACTACAGAGGTGGCACAGAAGAACACAAAAGTGGCTTGTAGGTACATTTCCAGACGTTTAATGAGGCTCAGAGGTGGCATGAGTGCAAATAAATTCATACATTCATGTGGAGATTAATGTTTTAAATATACAATTTTGAATTCAGAAATATGATTCAAATAACTGAAATTATACACTAAAATTTAAACTAAATCCGCCAGCAGGTGGCGGCAAGTCACTGATTTTGTCACTGAATCATTCATTCAATTGATTCGTTCGAACAACTGAATCATTCAGGAATGAAGCAAGTGACTGTCTGTATGAACTGACGGAAATCCGTCGTAGCGACGGAACTTAATTCCCTGTGATCAAACATTTCAGTAAAAACTGTAATTTTGTGGAATGTTATTACAATTTAAAGTTAATGTTTTCTATTTTTAATATATGTTAAAATGTAATATATTCGTGTGATGGAAAGCATCATTACTTCTCTTTTTTTTTACTCCATAATATTTTTTCTGATTTTTATTTTATTAAGATTACTTTTTGATAGAAACTTCAACGTTTATTCTAAAAAAAATAATGTGTAACAGTGTGAAAGTGCAGTTACTTTTGATCAGATAAATGCATTCTTGTTGAATAAAAGTATTAATTTCTTAAAAATACAAAAACAAATGACTTTTATGTAAAATGCTACAAGTTTAGTGACAACCAGCCAAAGAAGAGTCATTCTCTATTGCAGAGGAATCAGCAGCTCCCTGTTATTTGAGTCTGAAGCTTGTTCTGATCTCTGAGGCCTGCTGTCAGAGGACTGTATATCAGGGCTTTATCAGCAGGGAATGAGCTGTTTTTAATGATGTCTTCTCTCTGTAGTTGAGCTCCAGTGTGTGGTCTCCTCAGTCCATTGAGTTCAGCCTACAGCAGTTCTGTCTGCCCTTCCTGAGACTGTCCTGTTTACTGCAGCACCACCTTTATGGAGACGGCTTACCCGGCTGCCTGGTACACACACACACATCTGCTGTCTGCTGTTTTTATCTAAAGCTAGTTTCAAATACTACAACCCAATAATACTACAGCCCAGTTACTAACTGCCGGGTGTCTGTGGTCACAGGTGGAGGAGGAGTTCTCTCTGCTGGCCGGGTGTCTGGGTTTGTCTGGTTCTGTTCAGTGCAGTGGAGCCTCGAGCAGTGCAGCGTGTCTGGAGTGGAACCTCAATGCTTTCGATCTGATCAGTCAGTGGTGTTCAGAAGTCATCGCTCTGTCCGATACTCCCACCCAGCAGTCTGTGGTCAGTGTTTGTGTCTCCTAGGTCATGTTTCTTTGCACCCTGTCCTATTTGAAGCGTTGCTAACACCAGTGATTTAATTAGTTGTTGTATTTAATACTGTTAACCACTGTGACCTATAACCAAGCATGACCTGTGTCAATAAGCATCACATTTGATATTTAGTATACAACATTGTAGAGCAGGGTTTGAACCAATCAGATGTCATGCTGCAAAACAACTAAGACGCTAAGCTGCAAAATATCTTGGATTGTGTCACAGTCGTGGCTGATTAGGACAAGACTTTGACTAATGTTAAAAAGATTAGATTCAAGTTGGGTGGATGTTTTGCACTACCATTTTTTTTGTTTTGTTTCTCCACCATGTTAATATTTTTGGTTTAAAAATTATCACCGGGCACAATAAACACAGCAGCATTCCATAACAAACAGAACGGTTATTTTGATTTCATGGTAACTTTACAAGGTTTGTAGTTGATTCCCTAGAAAGATGTAGATTGAAAACTGAAACGTTTGTCAGGTTTGAGCATTTTGAGCATTTTGACCAGGCTGACACAGCAACATCTTTCAGTGGAAGATGGACAGAAATGAGATATTGCACCTTCACATTTTTTATAAGATGTTAAAAAGCAAAAAGATTGCTTTGACTGACAGTGAAAGGAAATTGAATTGGGCATCTGAGTGATTTTCTTGCATCTCTTCAGTCTCTATTAGGTCAGGATCCGCAGTGGGCCGCCCCTCGCCTCCTGCACCTGCCAGACAATTACAACACCATCTTCCAGTACTACCACAGGAAATCCTGCACCAGCTGCGGCAAGACCCCCAAAGACCCTGCGCTGTGCTTGGTGTGCGGCGCGTTCGTCTGTCTGAAGGGTCACTGCTGTAAACAGCAGGGCGTCTGTGAGTGTGTGCTGGTGAGTGTGTAGCAAACGCTGCAAGTTTCAGTTTGAATGATCTGTACGACTGATTATAATCAGGATTATAATGATTTTTAATCCAAAGCACTCTCAGCACTGCGGAGCAGCGACCGGTATCTTCCTCCTGATTAACGCCTCGGTCATCATTATCATCCGAGGCCATCGCTTCTGTCTGTGGGGGTCTGTGTATCTGGACGCTCATGGAGAGGAGGACAGAGACCTACGGTAAACCTCTCGCTGCTCGATTCTGCAGCTATTCTGAGGGTCCCAGTAGCCAGGGCAGAAATTAGCTTTTCCATTAAGGGGTGATGCTTCTAAGGGCAGTTTTTATAATTGCTTTATTACACGGCTCTGTGGAATACTTGATTCTGATTGGTCAGTCGCGACAGTCCAAGGTATGCTATCCCTCGATAACAACCGGTAAAAGCTAGTAACACAGGCTCATCCGGGTAACAGCAGTCGGCGCTGTACTCTTGCTTGAACTATTTTTTCTTGGTGGAAGCTTTGCGTCTGTTTAGCTAATAAAATATTAAAACTCGATTCAAAATGGTGTACAATTATTTAATTATGTCATCCTGGTATCGCGGACTCGCTCTCGTTTCATACAAACGCAGCTGCTGCCATTTTTGCTACGATTGTTTTGTACGCTGTAATGGATTATAAGAGAATTAACAAGATTTGAAAACATTTTCGTCTTAATTCTTTTATTGCCTTAATTATTTTTGTGGTGAAATGTTGTGTAATAAGTGGTGGGACTGCACCGTTTCCCTTAAATGCCCGTCTAGTTTGAGTTTGCCGCTTGCTCGCAACTGCTGTCTTCACGGAAGCTTTGCGTTCAGATATTTCAACTCAAATCAATATTTTGCGTCTAATTATTTACTTATGTGGCAAGTAG